TGGGCCTCTATCTTAGGATTCGGGTCTAGTGGCAGTCTCTCTCTCTTTCTCTTGCTAGGGTTTTTTGTGGGCCTCTCTCTAAGGATTCGCGTCCGGTGGCGGTGCTTGGCTTGTCATTGGACTCCTTACCCTAAGATGGAGATGTGGGCGTCGACGTTAAGGCAGGTTTTTTCGCGTGGTTGGGGGGTTTAGATATCGGCAAGGTTGTGGTTAGGGGTTGCCCATCATTCTTCGATTATCTCCCTTGGGAGCGTTTGTTTGCCAATGACTCTTTGACTCTTAATTGGGCTTTGTCATGGCATATTTGGTGAAGAATTTTGTTCATGGGTGGGGGCTTGGGGTTTGGTGTGGATTCAGAGGTGTTGTTGTTGGCACAAAGATGCATATGGCCTCAGGCGGGTGTTCTTCTTTAGGGATTCTAGTCTCTGTGGAATGACGTGTTTTTGGGGGGCAGTGCATGTTGGGAGTGGTTGTCAGCGACGGTTGCGCGTGGCTTCACACGCCGGCTTCGTTCAAATTTGTATTCTCTGACCCTTTTGGTTGCATGGATGGCCTTGTGACTGGTTGTGGTAGGGTTTTCACCTCTTAGGATTTTCTGTTTTGATGTATTCTATTGTTTTAAGTTTGTCATAAAGAGGCGGTCTCCTTACCTTCTCATTCTATTTTTGTGTAACACTGGCTTGAGTTTGTCCTCGCTAATGTTGTGGATGACTTTTGGTTTACAGGTTTCTTAGTCTTGATCGCTCAAAGGTTCCCATCGATTATAGAGAGGTTGTTTAAAGAGCCGTTTATGTGTTCGATTGTTAAATTACCTTTTCAGCTTTTCTTTATTGGAGCTTGCTACACATTTCTATCCCCTTGAGTGTTTCAATAGAATTTACTGGTGGTACGCATCAATAGTTAGGGTTTTCTTGCATTGCAAGGACATTTGAGTCAGCACCAGTGCTTATATTATCTCTTTGATTTGGAATATATTTTACCTTAAAAAAAAACCCAGCATATACTTTACAAATTTTTGGAATCAAGTTTTCCACAGTCCGACCAAAATAGGCCATAGGGTGGCCATTAATAAACTTATGTAGTAAGAATTTATATTTGGAAATCTTAGAAGATGCCATTCTTTTTTATTATGTCAATTGATTGATAAAATAAAAAGAATTACATGTGACTCCCCATATATATTATTGTAGGACCCTACCTAAAAATTATACATACATGTACATAAATTAATACATGTGCGCGTATGCATCAATATACATATGTGCACATGTATAAGTATGCCATATAGAAGACGAATTGAATTGCCTTTAATTTTAGTACTGGTCCGCATAATGAAATGTGTAAGCTAGCTTATGTTACATTTCTTACATTATATCAAGTGGTTGGATACCAAATTTCCATTATTATGAAGCAACAATCTACCTTACCTTAGCTGGATATATTAGGACATTTAGTCTATGATGATGACGACCAAACAACCATTTATATATGCCAGAGACATTACTGGGTCCATATTCTATTTTATTTTGGATTCTTTTATTAACCTATTGATATATATATATATATATATATATATATAATATTTGATATGAAATGCTAACTACCAGCACCAAAGGACAAACAAATCCTTTTCATTCACAGCCATTTTGAACTCAATATCTTGGAGGACCCTAAGTTGTACCGGGGGATACATTTTACGCATCATTATTATTTTCTTTAATTTTCAAATTTTAACTGAACTTCTTTCGTTCGTCGAATTTTTTTCCCCCCAAAGAAACATATGGCCAGGTGCCTTGAATTGGAAAATACTAAACCACAAAAAGATAAATACTACGTACACAAAAATATATGTGTGTACAAACTATATACTATATGCTATACATATAATGCATCTAAAAAAAAGTACAGCAGGCATATGGGTTTCATTAATATTGCTTTATTTAAAGGGCTGAGCAAATTGTCATAGTGTTATTTAAAAAAAAAAAAAAAACTATTCCTTCAATTTTTTTTTCTCGTAGGGGTAAGGGGAAAAAACAAAAGAAGAGACACTACTAGCTAATAATAGGCATTGTTCTGAACTATAATATTTTTACTAAGTTCTTCTACAGTGTCACACCTTTTTTTTTAAAATGTAATGGAGCTTTCTATATATATTAACTTGGGAGACGTGCCTAGTTAGTAACATTTTTTTCACTTTGCAATTTGCATGTCTTTTCTAAAATTTATTTAAAATTATTAAGTTTGATAAGTCATGTTTCCATAGAAATATTTTTTTAATAGTTTCTCTGTGAAAATAAATAAATAAGTATGCTGATAATTCAACTTATAATTTTTGTTAAACTTGAAGAAGACAAGCTAACAATGCTTTTTTTTTTCTTTCCTCTTTTTAGGGATGCCAACAATGTTTTAATAACAATAAACATAAATAAATATAGCCAACTGAAACTAAAAAATGATATCATAAAAATTTTTATAATAACAATGTAAACTTATTTGAAAGTTTTAAAATTTAACCTAAATAGAATTGTGGTGGTATGAAAATCAACAATTTCATATTATGCATAATAATGGTTGAAAAAAATTGAACAAAAATAGATACATCTTCTCGACTATAGTAGTATAGATCTATAGTAAAGAGTATAGATATTCACAAGTTAAAATATTTACGTAATAAAAAAGATACTAAATAAGGTGTTTAAAAAGAAAATTAATAAATTTTTTTTACCTAGAAACAATTAAAAATACAAATTTTAATAAAGAAGGGAAAAAATGAACAAGCAAATGCAAAGCAAAAGGATGCAGCAAAATGTGGAAGAAAAATTTCAAAGTGTGAAGGTAAGAAGTTGAAGAACAAAAAGTGCAAAATTCATCCACACATGCTAACTTATATTAAGTATGACATGCTAATCATATTTTTTTTTAGGGATGCCAACAATGTTCTAATAATGATAAAGCTAAATAAATATAGCCAATTTATAATTATTTTTAAAACTAAAAAATAATATTCATAAAATTTTTTCCCAGAACAAGTTTTAAAATTTAACCTAATTAACATTATAATTCTATGAAAATTAACAATTTCATATTATGCATAATGATGGTTGAAAATCAATTTGAGAAGATATATAGATGTCCTCTACTATAAGTATATATTCATTAGTGAAAATATTTATGAAAAAAAAGAGTTGTTTAAAGAGAAAATTTATAAGGAAATATTTTAATGGGAAACAATGAAAAAAAAAAAGAAGAAAAATAACAATATTTAAAATAAGATCAAAGAAAATGGGGAGGAAAAAAAAATTGAAAAACATAATTAAAAGAACAAGCTTGAAAGCAAAAAAAAAAAAAAAAAAAAAAAAAAAAAAAAAAGGGAAAGAGGAAGTAAGCACACAGTTGAAGTACTAAAACTTCAACCATCATCCGTGTTTCTGATATATAGAATAGATATATTATATATATATGTGTGTGTGTGTGTGTTTATATATATATAGAGGGTCTCTCTAGTGCAGTTTTTTTATATGTTAGATTTAATTAAAAAAACTCATCAGTAGATTTTTTATTATTATTCTAATATGTGCTCTTTTAACTTTAGGATAATTCTCATTCTGGTCCATAAACTATAAAAAAAATTCCCATTTTACTTCTTTATGTTAGAATTTCCATTAAAAGCTGATGAAAAAAGAGGGATATTTAGGCTCACTTAACCACCCTTTTTTTTAAAAAAAATTTGTTTTTACTAACCCGAAGGCACAACAAATCCTCAAATTATTAATATCACTTATAGAATTTACAACAAAAAGAAGATGAGGACTAACGGTGCTAATAGATTAAGAATTTTGGCATTGAATGTCCAAATTCTTTAAATGAGAATAAATGTCTAAGATTACAAAGTTTAGAGACCCATAACAAAACAATATTTTCCTAAACAATTAACAACAAGAACAATAATTATTATTGTTACTACTATTATTATTGCATATTCTTTACTAATACTTAATAACAATTATGGTAATAGTAGCAGTAGTAACAACGACAACAAGAACAAAAATAAAAGAATACGCAATCCGTCCCTCGTATATAGACAATGGTTTTGTTATTAAATATTAGGAACAATCAAATATTTATAGTTAAAATAATCTCCAAAAAATAATTACTGATAAAGCAATTAATTATATTAATACTAAGATTATAAAATCAATGCACTCACGTTTCAAAAATTGTTGAATTGTTAAAGTGTATGGCTCTAGATTTTTACTTATTACTCTTGATTAATGCTCTTTTGACTAATATAGTTATTTGATTGAAAGAAAATCAAGAATAAGTGGTAAAAATTCAGATCTACGCACTCTAAGAGATAAATTTGTCTCTTTTTCCCTATATTTTTATTTATAATATATTTATTTAGGTATATGTATGTATGTGTCTCATGTATAGGCCAAAAATTTTAGTCTTGATCCTATAGTGTGAAGCTGCATTTATTTGTGAGGAAAAAAAGAAAGAAAAGAAACAAACTGCAGTCTATTTTTCTTCTCCTTTTTTCATGGTTTATTCATTTTCCTTGTTTTGGTTGTATCTTGTTTTCCTCTGGGGTTGACTCTGATTTTAACTTTTTGTTATTTTCTTTAACTTTATGAGTTGAGACTTGAGTGTTAAGTGTGGGACGGACTTTTTAATAGGAAAATGATAAAAAAAAAAGATTGCACGCCAGTTATACGAAAAATATTGCTTCCACATAATTTCACAGCCACAGACTTTAATTAATTCATGTGAACATTAATTAAGATCGATCGAATTCGCACGCAATTAATTGATGGTGCGCAAGAGAAACCTTGTGAGCAGTATATACTGCATGCAGTAGTTTCATCAGCTCACTCGTTTTCATGTGACTGCTTTCCATGTCCCATATATGGTCTGTGACTCACTTCAATACCTTCTTTTCAACACCCCCATATATATATATATATGTATGTATATATCTCAACACACAATGGGCACGAAAACTCAAACTCTCATTCTCTTTCTCTGTTCTCTTTCTTATTGTGTTGCTTGAAATCTATAGAGAGGCAGCACAATGAAGATTTCCAATATTTCTTCAGCCGTTTTCATCTTCCTTGCCATTTTCATGATCTTCCTTCCAACAGTCATGTTTGCCCGGCATGTTGGGTTATCTCCTCAAACATGTAATATACTGTGTTTAATTATAGCCTGTCATGGTCTGTGTATATATATATATATCTATATCTTGAATTGCATACATAAGAAATACATATATGTGCTATATATATGTATGTAGATGCTTGGATGCGTATGAATGTATACTAATACTTGGATTTTTTTTTCTTTTAATGTGTTTTTAAGTGACAGGGTAATAGTTACTGAGTGGACCGGGTACATGCCTTCGTTTTTAGATTTTTTTTTATTTTTTTTTATTTTTTACCTCTATACAATTTCCTTTTTTGAAAAACAATCTCAGTTGTATCGCTGTTTTACAAATAAAAGCATAATTTTCTCATTCAATAATTGAAATATCTTCCTTTTTATTAATTTTTTTTTCTTGTGCTACGAACTTAAAAATGTTATTTTTGACTTTAACACCGTACTTACAGTGCACACTTAGTATTTATTTGTTTTATAAGTTTGAGTCGACAAATTTCGATTTAAACCTTTTTTTTTCTCTAATTTTACATGGATGTATAAGTATGTGTCACGCATGTTTTGCAAGTTGTACACAATTAGCCAGGGTCATTTTATTTATTTATTTTTTCTTTTGTTTTGATCATATATTGGCAAGATTGCACTTAAATACAGTTAGTTAATTTGACGCCATTACAGACCATGACGACGACATCGACGGTGATCGTGGTGAAGATGCAGCATGGCATGGCATAACAACAAAGAATGTAGTGGCGGCGCAAGAAAATAACTCCGGTAGCAGTAGAGAAAACATGAGTAGGTACAACATTGATGGTGGTGATAAGCAAATGGGACACATGAAGAGGGCTCGACCACTACAAGTGGCTGCAGGCTCAAGACTGCCGGATTGCTCTCACGCATGCGGCTCGTGCACACCTTGTAGACTCGTGATGGTCAGCTTTGCTTGTGCTGCGCTTGCTGAAGCAGAAACCTGTCCTATTTCCTATAGATGTATTTGCAATAGTAAATCTTACCCCGTTCCTTAAGCTAGAGATTTGAATGTTTTTCCCCAACAATAGAAAAAGGTATGTATGTGCTATATATATGTATTTTAGGAATCTTTGTATAACATATGAAATGCCTCAATTATATAGTTAATTTACGCCTTTCTTTTTCCCATGATGTCGTGTGGGGTAGGGGATGTTGGGGCAGCTGGGGGGCTTGCAGGTGGGACAGAAGAATAAAAACGTGGTCCTAAAATTCGAGCAGTTTTTTTTTTTTTTTTTTTTTTTCCTACTTCTTTGAGGGTAAAATGTTAATTTGAAGTAAACAAAAGAAATGGATAATGAGCGAATTCAAAATGTAACAATGAAATAATATAATTATAAATGATGGGTAGAGTTCTCAATCCGGATAGCAAGACGATGACACAACTCGAAACCCGCACGAAGTTAGTGGGTTTGGGTTAACTATAAATGAATTTGGGTCATAATCGGGTTGACACAATTAATAAATGAGTTGGGTTAGGCTTGACCTCCTAACATGAAGTGACACGACACGATTAACTATATGTGTCATCTGCAATCTAATGATATGTGATATAACATGAAACTTTATATGACATATTAAATACAAATAATGTGAATTTTAATATTTGTAGGGTAAATTCATTTATTTTTTTGAAAGAAAAGATAAATTGACCAATAAACATGTTAAACCTGTCTTGACCGTGTTAAATAAGTCATTATTATATTATGTATTTATTCAATATATTAATTTAAACGGGTTATACGAGTTGACACGATTAATAAATGGGTCGTGTTTAGGTTGAGATTTTTAACACATTTAATAAACAAATCGTGTTTAGGTTGATGTTTTCTGACACGATTAATAAACGAGTTGATAGAACACGATTCACTAACACGAATTGCCACCCTTAATGATGGGAGAGGATAAATAGCATCAGAGGTAGGAAGACCATCGCAACTATATTGGCAGTTAAACCCTACTTCATTTTGTATTATCAAAATTAGAAACAAGAATAAAAAGTTAGTGATAGCATATCTGCCGAATGGCCAAAAGCACAAAGCAAAAGTTAAGATTGGCACCTAAATTGTTGTTATGTCGTTTGATCAAATGCATTCCTGACTTCCAATAGTAGTTTGATGCGCAAAGTTAGAGGGGACCATATAGGATTAAATTTTAATACTGTGTTTGGAGATCAATTTGAAAGACTGGATTGCATAATTTTATCCAGTTCATGCTCAAAATCCCCCTTAGAAGAGGATGCGGCTATAACCTGCTGAAGCATGGGATTAAACACAACAAATTTTTAACTAAAGCACATTGTGAAGAACATTAGGGACATATTTGTAAATTCTTATAAACTTTGGGGAAGATGTAAGAATATTTTAGCAATAAACTAGTTGCATACACAACATATCGAACACTAACATTAGAGAAATCGAAATTATTACGTACTTCTTGAAGCCATGGAAAATTCGAATCACAAATGTGGCGGCTAGTTTTTCTTCGTTTTTTCTTACTTTAGAAGAAACAAGTACTATTAACGGTGCAAGCCAATAAGGTATCTAGAGAGAATATTAGGACAGGATGAGTTGCATCCATAATATGCAACTTCGTAAGATTAGAAATTAAGGAACTCAATCTAGTTGGAAGCTAGTTGCAATGTCTTGGATCACCCAATCTAGTTGTTCCTCTTATTTATTTATTTTATTATAAAAAAAGGGTAAGAGAAAGCAATTTTACTCTTACAACCCTCCAGACAATAATTCCACTTTTTCTACCTTCATGTCGAGGACGGCCGTGAAATATGTGCCTGTGGAAAACTTTAATATTGCACAATGCATATGCAAACTTTTGTCCTCTTCTATCAATTTAAGTGCAAAATCAAAACAATTACCGATCTGTTTCCTTAATTACAATAGAATACTTTTACTTCCCGCCTGCTGACCTGATACTATTATAAATTATAAATGTGAAAGTGCGGTTTCTTCAGTTTTCAGTTTATTTCTACGTGTGATCTGTACATTAAACTTAATTTCCTAATTACCTCGGGAAAAATTCAAACGCATTAAATTTGTATAAATATATGTTGATAAGGAATACTTTTTTTTTTTTTGGTTGACATGTTGAGCAGGAATATTACACTAACTACTTCATACTATGCAATATATAAGAGAATATTCTTAGACTCCAATCAAGTCTTGAATATACATTGGTTACAGGAGTACATCTGAAATTGAATTGACCGACTTAATATGTTGAATGCCTTTTGGAAACAAAACAACAAAAAAATTAGACTTAGTTTGTTGTTATTTCTTCTTTTAATATAATTGCTAAAAAAGAGACTTGGTGGTTACGTTGAATGTTTGATTTTTTTTTTTTTTTTGGATTAATCTCACCACAGTGCTTCTGAACTTAAGAGTCATTTCTAATTTGCTTCTTAAACTTAAGAAACCCTTAATTTGTCCCATTAAAGCCTTTTTGTAAGAATTTTTGTTAAAATCAGATAAAAAAAGTGGGGTTAATCAAGAGTGGCCACGTAGTTTTTATTTATTTATTTTTAATAGAAATTCAAATAGAAATACGACGTGATTGCATAATTCTCTCTTTTTTTTCATTATCTATTTTCAACATAATTACATAAAAAAGAGTTAAGTAGGAACAATTAATAGTTCAAGAAAAAAGTGAGAATTTTTGAAGTTTAGGAGACAAACTGAGAATGACCTTTAAATTTAAGAGACATAAGTGATAATAATCTTTTTTGTTTTTAGAACAAGAACCAAGGTTTTTTTTTTTCTTTATTTATTGCGACTACTTTTTGTGAAAGCAACCACAATTATGTGCCAACATGTAATTCTAATTAATTCCATGAGAGAAATTTTGATACATTTACAACATTGGTTCCCAAATTATGCCTAAATTAAGAGTTCATGTGGTTGTTTAATTAGTTGTTTTAATTTCATCCATACGTCGATCTAGACTGCAAACCAATAGTGCTACCTTCTGTTGTTCATGGATGAGAATATAGTAAAACATGTACTCGTCATGTGAATATAGTTCTGTACTATTTTTCTTAATTTTATGATCTTTGTTAAATTTTAAAAGCCCATTATCATTAGTTTTTTGGTCCAAAACCAAAATCATCAAAAACGCAAATTATGGGACTAATCTATGAAAATAGAAGTTTAGAATCCAGCCGTCGAATAATAATAATTTAAGAATAGTACTAGCAATATTCAGAAGTAATAAACACTGAAAAGAGAATAACTATAATAGTCTCTTTATTTCTGCTTTAAACCTTTTTCGTTTTGAATTTTGGGCGGAGGGTTTTAAACTTCTTAAGGTGTTGTTAGGTATTAATTTACTGTTAAGCGTTAGGCTATACATGCAATTAACGTAAAACGTTTAATTCTTTTCTTGATATATAAGATACCATAATCAATTCTCATGCTATCTAAAAAAAAATTATTCTCATGCGTGACAATAATGAGAAGATGGGCACATAATTAGTACAACTGATTATGTTACTTAAAATTTAAAAAATCCGTCGTAAATTTTAGAGTTTAAGAACCGAAATTGCCAACAAAAATAAATTCAAGACTAATAGATTAAAAGAATTAGGGTACAAATCATGACACCAATATTAATTCATTGACTAACATTATTGAAAGGTATGTTTTTAACCGGGTGTCACAAAGAGTGTTATAACACTCATTGTAGCACTGATGACAGATACGTGCAAGTGGATTTATTCTTTCTTTAATTCAACAACAACAAATTATAAGAGAAAAACTATTAACAAAAGCATAAAAGACAGAAGGAATTGATATCGAAGTTCGGTGCGCACACCTACATCTACGGAGTCATGCCCAGACAGTGAACAATCCACTAAGATAAAGAGATTACAGGCACCAATCGGTCTTACACTCTCAAAAAATTCCTCATTGATGTAGTCACCGCTGTAGAGAATCCTCTTAATGACTTTATTCAGCGAGCACCACTCGTCTTTTATGACTTCCTCCCGAAAGCACTTTTTTTTCTTCTAAAACAAAAGTTCCTTTTTCTGCAGACTCATGTGAAGTTTTTTTCTTCTCAGATCACTCACCCAACTCACAAAAGCAATACCACAGTGTCTGCGTAAGCAAAACGTTAACTCCAGCCCCTTTACTATCCCAGACCTAAAAATCCTCAAAACAAGGCTCAATCCCTCTAACGGATTATTCCCATTCAAAGAGCTCCCAATCACCAAATGTCAACATTACCAAAAAGGACAGTATGTTAATCATCCAGAATGAGGAGATCACTATTTGCTGCCCAAATCTGATACAAAATCCTCCATAGTTGTTCAAAGATGATCCCAAGCTGTTTTCTTGTTGTCATTTGAATTTACGAGCTATTTTGTCAACAAACTTGTCAACAAACTTGCCAACAAACATAGGCCTAACAATTATTATAATGACAATTATCTAAATATTGAAATTGGAAAAAAAAAATCTATGTGATAGGTTTTCTAGTGGGTGCCAATCTAATTGGAATGTCCTAGTTAGAGATCCTTGATATCTCTTCTTTGACATGTTCATTTAAATGATACTTTTTTTTTACTATTTTGCAATACCTAATTCTGGAGCTTTGCTAGGGTTTCATCTCCTAACCGAGGGGCACTTGAGCATTCCAAGCCACCTTGACCAGTAGCACATCCTCCATATGAGCCTCCACGCCCAGAAGCATGTCCCTTTATGAGAGCCAACAACACCCAGCGTCACCTCCTTGAGATCCACCACGCTTAATGCTGCCTCCACGAGATCCACCACGCCAAGTGCCACCTGACTCTGAGGCGCCGCAAAACATTCTTGTCGTCACACCATTCGCCTCCATGTCATGACCAAATACCACGCTAGGTATCAAACCCAACATCCGCATAATGGTATCCATGCACACGTCTTCTACAAGAATCTAAAATTTGTTGGACTGAATAGCTTGAGAATGCCTGCAAGCCCCAACTAAATAAATATGACCTTTATTAGATTAATGGGTAGCTAGGGTACATCTCATCCTCATGGGACGACACAAGGCGCAAATTGTAGACATGATTGAAAGTTGTAGGCTTTTGGGTTTCTATGATTGGTAGAAATTTGCATATATATATATATGTATATAAAAGTTTTGATTGTGAGATATTTATTTATTTATCGGCAGGTATTATTGTTTGATTGTGGGATATATTAATTTGTAGTTGATTTAAAAAAATTATGGCGATTAATGGAGATTGAATTCTTATCCTGTAAGCTAATCACCCTGGCATGGTAACGTAAGTATTCAAAACTGGTTCATATATATTTTAGAGCAATAAGCATGCTGTGGTTTTTAATTTTTATACTTACCCATCAATTTCCGTCTTAAATATAATTACACACATGTATATACATTTAATATAGTTTTTTTAATAATTTAATTTAACATTGTTAATTTCATAAAAATGACAATTTATTATGATGAATTGATTGTAAACAAGTGGTATAGTATTAATATTAGTATAAGATTCACCAAAACAAAAAATGAAGTGTGTTTTAGGTGGAGATAGCACAAACGATTCTGACCAACGTGTTTGAAGGGTTCACTGTATTTTCTTCCTCGTGTATTTAGCAAAGAATTGGTCAGAAGCTCTAATTGTTTCTTATGTAGCGCGTTCTCATTTCCTGTCAAATCAAAACCCGCATAGTTACTTGTTGATTTCAACCTATAGTTCATTGTTATTTTCCCCTTCAACATTAGTCTCTCTTCAAGAAAACCAGAAGTTTCAAAGTAAAAAAACAAAAAAAAAAAACAAAAATTCCTTTTGAAAATCAAACTTTCTTCACGTAAAGTGCTTAACAAGCCACATACGGGAAATAGACGGCTAATAAAAGATCAGTACCTTTCTATATAAAGCCCAACAAACCAAACACAGATTTTCACGTAAAACAAAGAAAGAAAAAAACAACATATTACAAAAACAGAAAAATATCTAGACTTTCTTATTGAAAGATCAAAACATATATTGAAATCCACACCATCATGAGTCAGGCAAGAGCTCTTGCGAGGTTTGCTAAGCGATTGATGAAACCCTGCGACGTGTTCATTAACCACAGAGGCATCGACACGAAGCGAACGATAGCGACGCTGCTTTACGACCAGCTTTCATGGCTGAATCTTTGTCCTTTCTTGGACAACAAAACGATGAAGCCTGGGGACAAGTTGTTTGATAAGATTGACAGCGCGATTTTGGGCTGCAAAGTTGGTGTGACGGTGTTTTCGCCTAGGTATTGCGAGTCGTATTTTTGTCTTCATGAGCTTGCTCTTATTATGGAGACCAAGAAGAAGGTGATTCCGATCTTCTGCGACATTAAGCCGTCGCAGCTTCGAGTGCTGGAGAATGGAAAATGCGAGTGCTCGGAGGAGGAACTCAGGAGGTTTAAGTGGGCTCTTGAAGAGGCTAAGAACACCGTTGGGTTGACGTATGACTCCTTCAAAGGGTAAGAAAAAAGAACCACTAAATCCTTCATTTGTTTACTTTATGGTTTGAAAAAAAAAAAAAAAGAAATTAAAAGTGTTTGAAAGCACTAACACTAGGGTTAAGCACGACAACTGATAAAAAGTGGGCTTACCTGTACTTTTATGGTTAAAGCTTATTTTCTGTTTGTGTGTGCGCTCTTATATTTTCGTTGCTACTATATAATAAACATTCTAAGCAATAAGCACCACATATTGAAACAAATTCTAAAGTTATATAAATTGGATTATGTAATGACTTTCATGGGATATTGGATCATCTCCAAGCTAACTTCTATATTTTTTTTCAACATTGTTCCATCATATGGACTGTCTATCATATGTAGAGAAAAAAAAATGGTACAGAAAAGCGTGGTTATGTGAAGTTCACATTTAAGGATATTAGTATTTAAGAACAGATATTGAAAATCCGAGTAAGGCATAAGCTGTGTATTTTCTTTTTAGTTTGTTTTATATTTTACTGCCTTACAAAAAGTTGTGAATAAGATTCTTACATTATTCCTTATAATTTGACGTGTTGCAGAAACTTATCTGATGTTGTTAGAAGAGCTTCAAACATCGTAATCCACAGCCTGATAGAGATTAATGAGAAGGAAAAGCAAATGCAGCGTCAGAAATCTCCAGTTCACGTATAAATAACCACTTATACCATCTTAACAATAAATTAATTCTAATTGAATTTGATTGATTAATTTGTGAAGAGATCCCTTGATCTCTGGTTCTCTGGTTCTGCAAAATTACATTTCTGTTAATAAATCTGGTTGATCAATTTGTCATTAATGTTGTCTTTGTCTCAATTGTTTAATTCTTTTTTTTTTCTTTTTGATGTATCCAAAGATAAAAAAGAAAAGTTTATATGTATATGTAGTGTAAAAAATGATTGTCAATAAGAATGTTACTAATTATTGTATCTTCAATGAGATGCAGAAGCTGTTATACTCTCACTGTAATAAGAAACGTGTGTTTTTCAAGATAAACAAATATACAAAGACAAAGTATATGTACGGTTGTACTTTGTAGTCGTTTGAAATATTGATTTATCTATGCTATTTAGTTCTTTTGCACCATGTTTTGCGTTACACTTTCTCTAAATTTAACCAGAAGATCCAAGCAGATCTTACAAGACTAGTTTGAGGGATACGTACCTTTAGTTAGAAAAATATCGTTTTGCATGTTGTCTATTTAAAATTTTCATTTGAAAATTTTTAATTGTTTCTCATTTTGAAAAAAAATATTATAATTTGAATTAATTTAAAAATGAATATAGTATTGGCATTTCCTAGTATCGAGATTAAACATTGATAAATAAGCTATCAAATCTAGATATTTCTTAATATATGAGAATAAATGCAAATAAAGTTCAAATAATAATTAAGATAACAATATATAAAATATTAATTATCTATAATATGCCCCTAAACATGGAGTTTCGTTAAGAGATTTCAGTTTTTGAAGGTTTTTTTTTTTTTTTTTGTTATTTTCAGAGAAAATAAGTTACATAAGTTATTAAATCTAGCGATCACTTCTTAATATTTATGAGGATAAATACAAATTTAGTCTAAATCTAAACTACACCTGCTAAGAGTAAATGGGTTTTTTGAGCTAATGAATACCCAAAACGTTTTGCGACAAAGGTTTCGTTAAGCTTCTTCTTTTCTTTTTTGGTTTCCTCTCCTTTTCTAACTCTCTTTTCTTTTTTTTTTTTGTCACCTTTTTTTTATTCTTATCTTTTTTTGTCCTATTATACATCTTTTTCTTCAAATTGACGCTCCTAAATATATTTCTCTCTAACTCCTAGTAGAAAAAATTTCTTCTCATATATATATATATATATACATATTCATTTCTTTTAAATCCTCTTCTAATGACGAAATATATATATATATATATATATATATATTTAACTTTCCTTCCTTTATCCCTCTCTTTCCTTTTTTCTTTTCGTCTTCCCCTTTTTCCATTCTTATCTTTTTTGCCCTATTTTATATCATCTTTGTTTTTTTTTTAATTTCTCTAAATAAGACCCTAATAAATATATTTTCGCTCTTACTTACAAAATCTTAGGTGCATACACGCGCGGTTTCAACTAGTCCTAATAAATGTAACAATATGTATATATTAGAACATCTCTAATGTAATGTTATAATTGATTGGTCAATTGCAAATTTAGTATTTGAATATAAAAAATACTCTCTAATTCAATGATATTTGTTACGCTAAATTTATCATATGTCATACTTCGTAGTAAATTTCTCACCAAGTGTATATAGCATATGATAAATTTGACATTTAATAATAATTAGTTGACATGTTACTTTTTCATGTAATTATGGTAACTTCTACATTTTTAATTGTTTTAAAAATAAAAGTTTACTTTTACAACTTTGAAAGCTTAACAATTATAAAAAAAAAATAGATTTAACATTTCAAATAGTATTATGCATTGGAGTAACAATGAAAATAACACTTTGTCCCAAAAAAATAAAAATAACATATTATATTATACTTTTTAATGCTAAATATACATTTAACATTAACATTTTTATTGGAGGTGATCTTTAACTTTCTCCGTAGACACATGTCGAGAATGTTAGAAGTCCCGTTTAGGCAGGTTCTTTTCAAACCTCCGCACTAATAATTGTCTATTTCATAGCCTTGTTTTCATTTCCTTCGGGTTGTGTCTTTATTTTCTTTGGATCTTAATTTTGAATTCATTGTAAATTTTTCTTTTTTTCCCTCGATAATATATGAGATGGAGCTGGGAATTTTCTGTATATATTTTGGTCAGTTGTGAATGAATAAACAATCCAAAATGTTTTTCACCCATATCGTAATTAAGGCAATTTTAAATAACTGAAGAACAAAAAAGATGAAAAAAAGAGAGTATATGTTTACATTATGAGGGTTCTAGAGAAAATTGTGAGAGGTAATTAATTTTTTGATTGGATGCGGGGAATTTGAAAGTGCCTTTGAAATTTGAATTGAAAAGATCACGTAGCTTTACGGTTTTGGAGAACATTGTAAAAAAGGTAATTCAGATTGACTCCATACACAACACATTCTTTAAATGTAAACAGACAGAAAGAACAAGTGACCACGTAAATTGAGTCAAATACTATGAAAAAGAAAAGAAAATTGAGTCAAAGTTAAAAAGTAACCTATTTTAGAAGTCTTTCTTTCAAAAGCAAATTTACAAGTCATGCATGGCCACCGGTAATTGATCTCAACGTATCCTTCGACCCTAACATGATATTTATTCTGTGGTAATTTTTTGTCACAATTCAGAAATATAACATTAACTGAATGCATGCGTGTAATATTCGGGTGTAAATTATGTACGCTTGGATATATTGTTACTCATCGTCGAAGCTTTCAGAAGCCATGACCTCACGCAAGGGTGTCGAAGCTACGTCAAGAGGGTCCAAGTGAGACGATACAAAGTACAGAAAAAACCAGCAAATTCAAATAGTTGAGAGATATTATCCAGAAGATGAATCTATTATCGTAGTCAAATATATGGATTTGAATTATAGTTAAAAGATAAATCCAACGAATTATTAAGGGATAATAGCTTATTTTAAATCCAAAAAGGATAAATAAGGATAGGCTTAGAATCCTAATCTGGTTCCAGTAGAAAAACCTATAAATAATGGCCAAGAATCCCTCATAGGAGGGACGGACACAATTTTTAAGTATTAAGAGATTTTTTAAGGGTTCTTGTACATTTCAGCTAATATATATAGTGAAAGTCTGTGAGCCCAGAAAAGAACATATGTATTACACCAGCCGAATCTCTATAAATTTTGTGTTTCGCTTTATTTTCTACATTTAATATTTCTCGCATATTGCGTGTAAGAATTCCCATGGGAAGGATTAATTCACTAGAAGAAAATGTAGAAACGACTACTCAAAATAAACAATGGTTTTTAAGAAAAGCGTCGTCTATATATAGCTCCTCTGGCGCGAGAAATCATGAGCAAATATAGACAACGTTTTCATGAAAACAGTCATATCCATAGAAAAGAATATAGATGACAGTTTTCTCATTAACCGTCGTCTAAAGATTAACGCGAAGCCCAAAAACTAATTTTTTTCAATTAATTTGTCAAGCACTCTCATTTCCTTTCAGACCTTCACCGTCACCTCCTCCTCGTCCATCATCATCTCGCTCATCTTTGCCTTGGCCTTCACCTTCGCCATTTTATCTCTCTCTCTCTTTCGCCTCCGCCACCGCCTTGCCTCCACCTGAAGAATCCACCTTTGCCGCCGTTGCCTCGTCTCCTATTGCTTCCGCTAGACGCTGCACACCGCTCACCATCTTTCCTTGCTTCCACCACCCGCCTTCTGGAGCCACCCTCTACCTTTTGTGTTTAGGTATGATTTTTGGAATGCCATTTTGTTATGGGCGTGTTGATTCTTAGAATATATTAGTTTTGTTTTATGCTTAATGTTAGATGACGGTTTAAGGTTATGTTGATTATTAGACGACGGTTTTTTCTTAGTTAAATAATCTTAGATGTTTTTGTTTTATTTGAATATATTTACTAATGAAACATAAAATTTATTTTGTATTAATTATATGCAATAGTAAATCTGACTAATTATATATGTTTATTTTGTTGGTTTTGAAAACGATTTTCTATACGGAAGTGTGTATCTAGCGGATCGTGTATAATAAAAATTTTAATAAATTTTTGAGATATTCTATAGATTATATTAATTTATGCATGAATAAATTAATAAAATTAATTTATGAATAAATTTACCTAGCGAATTATTAGGTCGATAACTTGAGTTCTTTGATCACGAATGCTCCTCGCTCCAAACTTGTAGAATACCTGAACCTTACTCATCAATTCTTTGTATCTACGAAGACGTGTATGTGGGCAGATCTGAAACAAAACGATATTAACACTCAAATTTTTCACGAACACCAACACATGCACGACGTGAAATTGGGAGAAAATTTTTCCTTTCCTCACTCTATAAAATTTGGCCACACTATGCTAGGGAGAGTAAAAATTGTGTTTTTCAATTTTCTGTAATCTTTTATCTACAGAGTAGTAGTCAGACTCTCACAATAAGTCTTATTTTTATCTCCAAGATAAAGCTTAATAATTATCTTTAACTTCTAATTGATTTTGGAAACAAAATTCCTCTCTCTCTTATCCACAGGGGCCGGCCACCACAGGGATATTCCCCTCCCAATGGTTAGCGCAAATAACAGATAGGGAAGGAAAAAAAATTCTCCTTTATCTTGCAGTTCAATTTTGACATATTCAAATTTCAATTTAAGTCAACTTTAATTTAATTTCAATTTTAATTGGACAACTTATCAAATAAGTCAATTAAATAACTTAGAAAGTAAGCAACTGAATCTCAAAGGGATTCTCACTGTCTTGGATGTGTACACCATGTGGACTCCTCCACATGTGTATTCCAAAAATTTTAAATTTAAATAATTACATTATTTAATTTACAATTAATTCTCAATTAAGTATTCTTAGTCTTCTATTTAGAATTTCATAATTTTAAAATTCTCATTTTGCCCTTATTATCTTGTAGGATTACAAGATCGGTGTGGAGACTCATGGATCTATAATTTTGGGCTCCAATAAAAAAAATAATTAATTAA